CAGAATTATGTTGCTTTGAAGATTCAGAAGAGTGCACAACAATTTGCTCAAGCTGCACTTCATGAAATCGAATTCCTTTCAGCTGCTGCTGATGGAGATCTCGAAAATAACAAATGTGTTGTTCGTCTGATCGATCATTTCAAGCATACAGGACCAAACGGGCAGCATTTATGTATGGTGCTTGAGTTTCTCGGCGATAGCTTGCTACGTTTAATCAGATACAACCGTTACAAAGGTCTGAAACTTGATAAAGTCAGGGAGATTTGCAGATGTATACTGACTGGTTTAGATTATTTACACCGTGAGCTCGGTATGATTCACTCTGACTTAAAACCTGAAAACATTCTTCTTTGTTCCACCATTGACCCTGCTAAAGATCCCGTCAGATCGGGACTAACCCCGGTATTAGAGAAGCCTGAGGGGAATGCAAATGGCGGCGCATCCACGACGAATCTGATTGAGAAAAAGTTAAAGAGGAGAGCGAAAAGAGCGGTTGCTAAAATATCAGAAAGAAGAGTTTCAATGATGGGTACTACAGGTGAAGAAACATCTTCAAAGACGGCAAGATGTGTTGATGGGATTGATATGAGATGCAAAGTGGTTGACTTTGGTAACGCTTGTTGGGCTGATAAACAGTTTGCGGAAGAGATACAAACGAGACAGTATCGAGCTCCTGAAGTAATACTAAAGTCTGGATACTCATTCTCTGTTGATATGTGGTCTTTTGGTTGTACGGCTTTCGAGCTTGTCACAGGAGATATGCTATTTGCTCCTAATGATGGAATTGATTATGAAGAAGACGAGGTAAGATCTAAATCTAACCCCAAGAGTTTGCTTCTTTGTTTCTTTCAGATCTTTTATTCGATTTTTTGTTATCTGGTTTTGGATTTAGGACCACCTCGCTCAAATGATGGAACTCCTAGGAAAGATGCCTCGAAAGGTATGCTTTTTTACTTTCTCGCTATTTGCTCGATTTTATAGTCTCTTTTGATATGATTGATTGAGCAGATTGCCATTGGAGGAGCGAAATCGAAAGACTATTTTGACAGACACGGGGATTTAAAGAGAATCAGGCGGTTGAAATATAAGCAATTCGATCAGCATCTGATCGATAAATCCAAGCTTACGGAAGCAGAAGCAAAGGAGTTTGCGGAGTTTCTGAGACCGATTCTGGAGTTTGCGCCAGAGAAACGACCAACTGCTCAACAATGCTTGGAACATCCATGGATGAATGTAAGGACACAGAACAATGCAGATAATGTAGAGGCCAAAATGAACAACTTGCAGATCAAAGGGTGAAAGAAACTCCAACTTGTTCTTTGTTTTCTTTTTTCTTTATACCTTTGTTCGTTTTATTTTTTGAATAATTTTGATATTTTAATGGTCTTTCTTTTTTTTTGAATTTGTTATTTTTTTTTTTGGGGGAGCTATGATTATTGATTAACCATCGATTTCATTTGTTGCTTTTAAAGAACTGTGATGTGTAGTGAATGAATTGACTAACAAAGATGTTGCATCTTCTTGTTTAAAGATTTTGACTATGTTCTCTAATCTTTAGGGGTTTGTATGAAATATGTTAATATTATGTATCAACTATCAATTATATGCAACATTCGAATTTTGTTTCACATGTTTTGGGGATTTTTTTTTTAATTCTACTTTGATTGGTTATAAATTTGACTACCTCTTAGTTGATTTGAATGACAATTCAACTATAAGGAGTGATAACAAGTAGGAAAACTGCTTGATCTTAATATGTTTTATTGTAATTTATTTTTGTTTGTAGCCAAGAGGTCCTTGGCAAGTTT